TCGCGCCGCGACGTTTTAAAACTCTTCTACTTAAACCGCAACTCAGCGATAAAAAATCGCGACTCACGACGCGACTACGCAAATACTACTGTTTATATATCTGTGATTGTCTCGGCGCGACTCGCCATATCGCGAATCGTGCCGCGATAATATAGAGACCGCGCTAAGAAATATTCACTTGGTTTTTTGAAAATTTATCAACTTTTCAAGTCCTGCTGCGAGATCTGGAATCTATAGCGATCGCGCCGCGACATAGCGACAGTATAGCGTTCACGCCATGGTAGTTAAATCGCGACGTGACTCTTAGAAAAAAAATTTCAATAACTTAAGACTTTCTTAAGATCTTGTCGCGAGGGCCTGATTTATAGCGATCACGTTGCGAGTGATGCGAGTTCATAGCGATCGCTATAGCGACGGCGCGATCGCTTCACGAATGTGGCATGACAGTTGACATGATATAACCTTACGCGAGTTAAAAATAATATTGAAGTTTCAAGCTTGACTGGTTTTTTTCTATATAACAGTAGTTTAGAAACAATATTGTATTATTATTATATAGCAGATCTGAAAAAATAAATCGGATATAACAGCTTGTTTCATTTTATTTTAAAACAAAACTCTCATGTATTGAATGTATACCAGTAAAATCAACTATTATTATTTACAAGATTTGCCAAGACCTTATCACGTGTAAACGTACTATAAGATGAGGAAAAGCGGCTCTTACTGAGAAAACGTTGATTATATATACTTCTTTGAGTAGATGACGCTAACGTAAGCAACTTTAGGAAATGTTCTTTTTTGCTCGAAAAATACAGATAATAACAAATAATATAATTTTTCTGTAGAATATTTAAGTTTCGTTGTGTAAAGAATAGTTCTGAAAAGTGAATTTATGTTGTTGTTTTTTGATAAACTATGGATCTTTGTCTTGTATATGTATGCACGTATCTCGTCCAACTAAAAAGTGTCTCATTCACAGAACCATGTGTTTTGTAGCTGTTTTCAGACTGTGTAGATCTGTGTTTCTAAGTTAATACCTTGACATTTTAACTGTTGTGTATTGTTCATCGTTGATCGCTCTTTTTGACACTATCAGAACTGTAATCTTTCGTCTTGTTCTAGATGACCTGTTCACTTATTAATTTATCTGTGATAGATGACTTGAAACGTGTTCGAGTGCTGTTGTTACCAGATTTGGTGGATGATAATCATGATGGTGCTGATGAGAACAACGATGAGCAACAGCAAAGTAATCAACAAGCACATCTAAAACATTCTGAAGCATTGTTTACCTCTAATTCAGCACTTACTATTAAAAATACAGCAAGTATTCAACGCAAATGGTTAAAAGAATGCTTACTGACCTTTTCTCCAGTCCTCAACATTCTTGTCACTGCGCGTGATCAAACATTAGTTATTTTTACCAGTAAGCAGATGAAACATTTTCATATCTTAGTTCTAACACTTATTTTTTTAAATTTTTTGTAGCTAAATCTAACAATGATCAAACAGTCTTCTCTGTGTCTTACGAAACGAAACTTTCAGTAGATAAAAGGTATGTAAAAGTCTTCCACCAAAGGATGAAACGAAGCTCTTGTCCAAAAAAATGCTGGGTACTCCTGATTTTCTCTTTGTAACTGGAAGCGTTTTAACGCTCGAATATAATATTTAACACCATATAAATTCAACACAATCATGTTTGTTTTTTATTTAGTGAACGAATAACAAGTATACTGTGTCTTCCTATTGCTTCATCAAAAAAGTATGATAAAAATGTAATGGTTTTGTGTCCTTCTCAAATGAAAAGCCATTTTTTAAATTAGTTGCTGTTTTTAGAAATCCTGATTTACCAGAATGGACCTGCATAATTGTTGGATTCACAACTGGTTATGTGCGGTGTTATACAGAGGTAAAAGTAAGACTATAATATTTTAATAGATCTAATAATACTTTTATTTAACAGGATGGATTATTACTTTTATCACAAATATTTCATGATGATAGCGTATCTCAACTGAAATGTCACACACAATTTCCATCTAAAATGCGAAGTCTAACCGAACAGGTGAGACTACATATATTATTGCAAGTGACTATTACCACGCCATTTATTCTTATTTCAGCCAGATGAACTTTATATTCAATATCGATCCATTTTAGTTGTTATTGATGGGTTTAGTTTATATCAGTTGCTCAAAGTTTGCCGTGATAATGTGCTAAAAGATGGTTTGTATAATGATTTGGGATCTCAGGAAAGCATTTACGTTTTGTCTTTGTATTTTAGCAAATTCTTCAACAATATCACCTCAGCTGTCTTATAAAAAATGGGAGTTTTCAAATCAAGAACAAGTATCTGATTTTATACCAGCAGGTAATCTACTAAGGGTAGGGTAACCCTCTTCCCCAATAATCGAAAATAATTTTTTTCACCAGACAAATGAAAAAAAATTTGCAATAAAAGCTTGCACAGCGAAAAGTTTTGATTCAATTGGATTTTGTTTTTTAACTGGATATCGAGTAGGATTAGGAAATAAATAATAGTAAAGAAAAAACTCTCGTAAAATCGACATGTAATTTACAAAATGATGTGATTCTTAATGCTAGGCTTAGTGACGGACAATCGGTTTGATCAGTTATGTGCTGCATCGATGACTGATGGTTATCAAGCTACAATTTGTCCAATTCCACCAATGTTTACACGATATATCACTGTTGGTGTGAGTCCGTACTGCAATTTTTATTCTTGTGCTGGGGTATAATAATCGTTTACTATATCTTTCTTTTTCGACAATGTACTCTTCTTTTTAAGGACTCTCAATTACCACAATTGACTGACGTAGCATTTACATTAGCAGTCAAGCTGAAATCATCATTATTCTCTGCTATGAAGTAAGAATTTTGCTGTTTGTCTGATTGTATTTAGTGCATATTTGTTCTAGCCGTTGGATACCAGGAAAACCAACAGTAGTCGAAGATACTAAACCGAAAGTAGAACTGGAGATGAAACTTTTTAGTAGGTGGGCACATAAAGAAAGAAAAGAAATGAACGAATTTATGTCGGATTTCATACAAAACGCTTTAAACATACATCGTTTTCATTTAGGTTTGGGTTTCACGATTTACGACGACATGGTGAAAAAATAATTGTTTCTCCTGGATTACATATGGCTGCTATGACAGATAGTTTTGGTCGTGTTGTGTTATATGATATATCACATAGTATTGCTATTCGGATGTTCAAAGGTAGAACAAACTAATTGTAAACCAAAGGACACCGACTAACATTTCGTTTCGTTTCAGGTTATCGTGATGCTGAAATTGGATTTATACAAATCGACGAGACAGCAGATACTAAGAGCAGTCCACATTTTTCATCAGAGAAAGCTGCCTTATTTCTTGTTATTCACGCTCCACGACGACAATTGCTTGAAGTTGGTTTGAGTTCATCAACTGAATTCTAACTTTTTACGCTAGTGTTTGCTAAGTTAGGTATGGGGCTGTCAGCAAGGGACTCGTGTTGCCGCATTCAATGTATCTAAAACTTGCCGTTTAATTTATCTGGATCATTATATGCTTGGTTGGACAAATACATTTAGGCCATCATCATCATCCAAATATAATTTTAAACAATGTATAGTTCTAGAAGAGAATGGAGAAATTAAAGAATTACAACTGCCATTTCATTTGATCTTAAGGTTTGTCTTTATGTCTCATCATTCAATAACTCTATTTGTCTCTATGTTCTAGTGATCGTAGTAATCAACGAGCCCATGATCTTATGATATTCAGACAATTACGACGCCTACTGCGTCAATCAACAAGTGATACGGATCAGTTTAAAAACGATTATCGTATACTAATTAAACGTTTGATAGCGTTTGAAATGATACTTGAAGCACTGAACTTACTATTTCAAACAGATTATGTTAATTTATTGACAATGCGTTTATTTCTACAAGAAACTAAAGATTATTTAAATTTAAATATGGATACATTGTTAAAAAATGATGAGTTAATTAGTTTATACGACTATTGTGAAATGTCCTTAAGATTATTTGATATTTACAGTATCATAGATGAATATAGAAAAATGATATCTACGGTAGTACATTCAAATGAGACACATGAGATGTTCGGGAAAGATGTGAGTATTAATAACAGTTTTATTTTCTCAGAAACATATAATATCTTTTAGAACTGCATATAAAACCTCTCTTTTTCTAATTTTACTTTTTCAGTTTTATGAGAAAAGGGATCTTTTCTAGCAGTAGAATGATCTGAATTGTGTAATTTGACAAATTTTTGCCATTGTTTTTCAATAGGAATTTCAAATCGAATTATCATTATCGGATAATGAAACAGACATGTATTACAATATCTTTGATCAATACTATCAGCAGTATAAACAAAAATATCATAAAAATGGAACATTATCAAATACAAATGGAAATATCATAGTGAATAAAACTGTACAATTTATTGATGATGCCAACAATCAAAATATTCGTATTCAAAGTAAACAATCGTCATTACTAACATTTGGTCAATTTCTATCCATGTTTAAACAATCTCATTCGACAGCAACTTCTAATTATCATCATCAAATATCAACGTTAAATCGAAATAATACGTCACTAACTCGACAAATTTCAACAATCGAAGAGAAATCATCACCTTTTTTTCTTGAAATAACACCAACAGTCTATTATGATGAGTTTGTATTACTTGGACAATATCTTTTCTCATCGTGGTTGAATGATAGTGAATGGTGTGCTGAAAAATTTCAAGAATATTTACAATTAACACATTTAAAATCGATTGATTTAATTCAATTGTGTCTTTATGCATTATTATCACAACAGAATGTACCAAAATCAATAAAAACTTTGAGACAATTGGTCATGGCACTATTGACGAAAACAAGTGTAGATAATAATGAAGAAGAAAAAGAAAATATTTTGTGTATTTTAGAGATATTTCAACAGACACCGCATTTACCATCAAGTTTATTGATATTGCTGATCATGAAAAATCATCTTGATTTTAGCGAAAAAGATCGTATGGCAATCGATGTACTCATAAAACGTCTGTCAGCATTATTATGTGTAAAAAATTTATTGTCGGTACATAAACCAGCTATCAGTGTGAGTGATAATGAGGAAATATCTGATAGTAAAGAAAATAGAGATGATACGATCACCAGTTTGACTGTCCATAATATATTTATTCAACATCAATATGAATATTTGAATAAATTAATAGCAAAATATCTAGTTAAAAATCAAATCAATCCTAAATGGTTGGTTAAACTAGTGACAACGAATACAAATAATGAAAATGAAACAGACACTGAAGCAATATGTCGAATTGATCAAGATGATTATGAACAACATATTCGAGGTACATCAGTCATTCTTTTGTATACCTGACCACACGTAGGTTTCTCTAGGCAACAACTGAGTTTAAAGTAGACTTGATAGTAGCTTTTTGTCTTGTGAGAGACTCGACCTTTGTCTTTCATGGTGACAAGACCATTCTGGAGAAGAAAAGATGCGAGAAGACTCGTTCCTAAAAGAACTGAAAGAATGGTCAGCTTAAAGAGTCAGTTTTATTTAATGAAGCGTTTGTATTTGAGCGTCATAAGAATCAAGTTGCTATGAAAACAAAATGCTTGGGAAGGGACAAATATTTCTAAAAAACCCTGTACGGAAGATCTTTTTAGCCGATGATATGACTTCTGACATGACTGTGTGAATTATAGGGAAGAATTTTTTGTTTTATCTCCTAAACGTTTGTTGGTTTATTGTAATTTAGTTATTGACTTACCTCTTCGAATTTTCTAACTTTTGCAGATTTTTCATTGAAAAAACAGGATAGTTTGTGAGTTATTTTGCTCTTTGTTTTAGTCAATCTTTCCTTATGTAGACAATTTTTACCACATACGTTTGAATCAACCGTTTTATTAGTCTATTGTTGCTGGGAAAGCATCCAGTTATGGAGTAAAACATTAAACGCCGATAGTAATTCAGATTCATCTTTCTCATTGACTACGTTATTTCATTTATTATTGGATTATTATGATAGCATCCAAATATCCACGGTTAAACAAAATTTAGCGACACTGCTATGGCATACATATTTTCGTTCAAAAATAATAATTTTAGTACAAGTGATAGAAAAAATTGGTGAAATACCGAAAGAACATTTATATCTTAAAGAATTACGAATGACAGATAAAGAATTAATTACGTATCTCGATTTTTTAATTCAATTTTTTGATCGATTTCTTGATTCAATCTATAATTCATCGAATGAAACACCCATATTCAATGTAGATGATACATGGTCACCACATCACACAGGTAAATTAAACTTGACGAGGTCAATTGCATCATTTTAGGATTGCGAATTTATCACAAGAATTACTATCTAAATGGAATCATTGCTCTTTCGCGATATGCGGACATGAGTTATGTGAGGTTATTTCTCGTGGACTGATCAAAAAATCATAAATGGTGATGACTATTACTTGTGTACAGATCTTTCGAGAAGCTGCTGCTTTTTTGTATCGATAACTAGGAATGCACCAGTCCCAAGTGGATGCTTATAGCGATCATTATTCTTCCCTTTTAAGAATCTCCAAGCTAGATCAAGTTTTGGTACGGGACAAACTCAATTTCGTTCTCTCTACCTGTTGTGAGGACTAAAATTATTGAATCAGCCAAAAAGTAGGTTGGAATTGGTGAAAACCTCTTTTTTTATGCAACGGCGACCGATTTCAACCTACTGAAAGAATGAAAAGAGATTGAAGCTTACAACACGAAACAACTGTTCTAATTAATCGTTCAATTTTGTTTTCTCTATTTTTATTTAGATCCATCTGAGTTATTTGAAAGGTATCCATTGTCAGTCTCATTTCGTCCAAATTTACTGAAACCGACATTGCAATCTGATGAACAGTATTCAACATCATCTATTCTCGAACTCATTACGGAACCAAAACAAGTAAATCCACGTTTAGTATGGCATCACTATAAATTAATTCGTCTATTATACTACATTATGTATTACAATATACAATTCGTGAGACCCATGTCAATGTTCGATACTAACGGTAGCTATTGTGAATATCAAAGAGAGATAACTAAATATTGAATAATTTTCTATTTAGGCATAAACGCATTTTTTACCGATCTGCATACCCATCCATTAATAACTGATAATATCGATAACAGTGTCTCGAATGTTCGAAAACTATTTTTTATAAGATTGTTAAATACTCTATTCGAAAAATTATCACCATTCGATGATAATCCGGTGGGTAGTACAATAGTATCCGAAATATTTGAATTAAATATTCAATATATTCTTCACTTTTCAACTGATATGCTTGTTGACAATGAATATATCCGTCGACATTATATTTGTTTATTGTATGCCTATGGCTATGATGAATTAGCATCACATGAAGAATATCGAGTTAATGAAAAACAGCCATTAGCATCTGAGTTATTGATAATTGCCGGTTTAAGATTGAAACATGTTATTGATACGACAATGTCAAGAAGAATAGCAAATGAAAACTCATCGCAAATAAAAATATTCTTTACATCTTTAGAGCTAAAATTAAAATTATCATCAACGTTAAAAACATGGCTATCATCGCTCAATGGACTAGTCGATTATCCAGTTAAATCGTGTTCATTATTCTCAATTAATAATATTTTAGCAAAAATAGTTTGCTATTTACCTCAGAACTATTCTCAGTATAATCTGGCTCAAGAAATGATTGAATTAGTAAATACATTGAATACAAAACGATGAATTTGTTTAGGGTGAGATTTATATTTTTTAACGTTATGAAGATGGAAAAAACGTCAATTGAGAAATACTAACGAAATAAATATAAAATTAAATAGGTTTTACTAGAACATTTAAGATAGTAGTTTTATTGAACGTATTTTTACGTCTCTCTTTTACTTTTATTTGATGTTTCTTTTTATATTAGAAACAAACAAATTGTATATTATTTTACAGAGTTCGAAATAGTGATGTCAAATGCAGAATAACAAAAGAAATTTTTTTATTATTTTTCTTGTTTCTTATAAAATGAAAATAAGCATATGTGATAATAACGTATTGTTATCTTTCTGTCCAATTTTAATCACGCCATTTTTGTCAAAGGTAGATTTTTAAAATTAATTTGTCAGTATATGTATGTGTATGTTTTTAATATCAGTGTATTTATTAATAGCAATCGTATGTTCCGTCGAAAAAAAGAATAATTGATAAATCAAATAAATGATTATTTATTATACGGAAAACTAGAAAACTTTGTCAAAATGGGCCGAAGGTCTATGAAGGGTTAATACCCGTTTCCAACATTTATCGCAACTACTAACATCTTGAACTAAAAACGATACAAATCCTGATCTTGATTAATCTTTTTCAAAGCCTTGTAGTGAAGAGAGTGAAATGAAGGTACGCGGAAACAGTAAAGAAATAAACGCAGATCAAGACTTTATAGAGCTAAATATTTTTAAGGAAAGAATGATCAAACGGATATCTGTTTAATAAAGAAAAATTAGGCGTTGAGAAATTTTCCATCTTTTTGAAGATGAGCTCGTGACTAATTTATATATCATGTGGAAGAAAGTAAAACAAGGAAACTGATTCACTCTAGGAATATGCATACGAAGCACGACCAAGACTGTAGACAGTTCTATCTAATTCTAATAATTCGGTAATTATGGTGGCGCGCACGTACTCATAACATCTGCCCTCTCCATGAGTGAGGGGAACGAGAGTGATGCGACATTAGAGTGAGTTCTGATGTAACAACCCATACGTCATAGTGATTTTGTTGTTTATTTATTAATAAAAAGTTTTGTTTTGAAAATACGAACCGAGTTAGCTAATATTCTGATAAAAAAATAACATAGTTTATTTTCTAAAATAAAGACAAAAACAATATCA